GTGTTTATTGTTTCCGTATACATTTGTATGAGGTCTACAGCAATAGTTCATAACACGCAAATTTTAAAGGTTTAAAAACGACATGTTTTTATTGTTCTTAGCTCACCTAGTTCGAAGAAACGGATAGAATAGGTTACAGCATACAAAGGCGTCTGCCTTCTGTTGTCCGACAATTTTTCAAACATATATTGCCACTTGTCATAAATAGAGTGGCATCGGAGAGCGGCCTTACTGTGATCGGGGCTGACTGTGACCAGTGCTGGCTGTGACCGGGGCTGACTGGGAGAGTGGCATCAGACAGCGGCAGTGTCCCTGACTTTGACCGAGGCTGATTAGGGCCGGGCTGACTGGGAGAGTGGCATCAGACAGCGGCAGTTTCCCTGACTTTTACCTGGGCTGACAGGGACCGGGGCTGACTGGGCGAGTGGCATTAGACAGCGGCAATGTCCCTAACTGTGACCGGGACTGACTGGGATCGGTGTTGACTGTGGCCAGGACTATCTGGAGAGTGGCATCAGACAGCGGCAATGTCCCTTACTGTGACCGGGACTGACTGGAATCGGTGTTGACTGTGGCCAGGGCTATCTGGAGAGTGGCATCAGACAGCGGCAATGTCCCTGACTGACTTGAACCGGTCCTGATTGTGACCGTAAAGATAGATAACTCGCGCGGACTTTAAGCAAGATTCCATGCGCTATGCTGCACATGCTACAGAACCATTCAACGTACTAATACAAAGAGAATAGCTTTTACTCTATGATGATCTGAAATCAATTAGAAATAAAATCTAGTAATTATAGTGTAATCCTAATAAACATGTCCTTTACGGAGACGGTCCTAGTTAGGATCAGCCAAGATTACGATAAATAAAGTCTTGAATGTTACGACAATATCATCGTATTTAATCAGAAACAGGTGTATTTAGTCTTTGATCAACTGACATTAATTGACTTGGCAGACATTGATAAAATTAGGTCAAACGCATCTGTGGGAGAAGGCGAACCAACATACGGAGAAATATACGGAGGATGAATTTGTGACGATTTTATTCAGTTAGAGTTATCTCCCTTCATGTAACGTTTTGTATACGTCCTGTTTTGTATCATTCCCCACCTACCTAATTATTTTAATTATCGATGATTGACTTATGTTTTCATGAAACTAGTGTTTACTAAATGTGTAATCATACCTGTATAAATAAATAAAAACATTTGTCTTGCGTATTTGTGGGTTTTGGTGCTGTATTAATTGAGAAGGAAAATACTGGAGACACCCAGAATAATACATAAGATTTTATGTAAATACTGGTTGAAACCAGTAAACCAGAGAGAAGATTTTGACAGACGGAAGAAGGTCGGCTATATCACAGGTAATAAAGTATTATAGCACACAGTTCAATTATACTGTTACCAGAAGCTCCTGAGTAAGGGGTTGCCTGAATAAGGCAGCTCTGGTGACAGTTATTGTTACGTGTGGTCGGTGCCAGTACGTTGACGTGTCAGGTACGCCAGAATCTCCTGAAAAGGGGTTGCCTGCAAAGGCTACTCTGGTACGCCTGACTACTGATACAGTACTTGGCACAACACTTTGTACTGTGATAATAACAGGACACTGGCAGGCGACGTCGGAGCTGTACGGTGGTCGGCTCAGTAATAAGGGACGTGCTTGCAGTGTTGTAGTGCTGACAGTCTGTTAGTGTTGCGGTGTGTGGTAGCCTTGTTGGGCAACATACGCCTAGGCGACGTGATACGTACCGCGGACACATTGTTGGCTCGTGTATGGTGACATGGTGGACAGAGGTACTGTCCTTCTCTGTTGTAGTGTATAGATATATTGTTTATTAAATTGAGTAATTGTTCAACTGCTCAGCCAGGTAGCTGAGGAATTCCAATCGCTTCCGGAGCAGGTAGCTCTGTCTAAATTGAGAGACCCGGCGTGCACGCGCGCTACCATAGGGTGCACGTTACAAAGTCATAAAGATGATCAAGTTTCTGGTTTGCAATATCTTTGTCGAGTTTGGTGGTAAGACTTCACAGACTGTTTGCAAACCTAAGAGAACTTTCTGTGCCTCTTTGTTGCGCCGATTTATTTTTGTGTTAATACGAGACTGAATTCATCACGCTTATCAAAACATGTCACCGTCCTTACAAAGTCCTTCAGTTTCACTTTTGGATATATTGATGACGTCTTGTCATTAAATAACAAGAGATTTATTGATCACGTCGTGTTATACACCCACCAGATTGGAAATCTAGGACACCACAGACTCTTCTAAACCAGCCGCTTATACCGAGTGTGTGTGTGTGTGTGTGTGTGTGTGTGTGTGTGTGTGTGTGTGTGTGTGTGTGTGTGTGTGTTCTGTTTCTGGATAGCAAATTCCGGCATCCCAAACTACAGTGTTTACATGTCACTGTTGATTTGATCTGCAAAGGTCTGTTCTCCCAAAAATAAGAGAATACGAACATGTGAAAATAATTATAATCCAAACTCAAATTCAAATTCAATGAAAGAAAGTAGAAGGAGAATAAGACCAGGTGCTCCGGAAGGGTACAATGCATACTAGAAAGTTGTTGCCAGTGATCAATAGAGGATGTCATCATGATGAAAAAAAGTAGAAGGAGAATAAGACCAGGTCCTCCGGAAGGGTACAATATATACTAGAAAGTTGTTGCCAGTGATCAATAGAGCATGTCATCATGATGAAATACTTCTGTTTATCTTCTGACATAATATGCTCCTACAGTTTATACAGTAGAAACATGTATGACACTTTGTCGAAGGCTTTGCTTAAACTCGTTTAAATGACATCTATTTTGCCATTCTTGGCGACGTGTTCCGCCCAATTTTCCATCGCCATCAACAGTTTTTGTTGTACAGGATTAAAGACCAAGTTGGTCTACGGTGAATAGATTCGTACAGTTCCCGATTTTGTCCTGCATAATACGCTGTAAACTTAAGGATGGTAAGACAACAGTTATTTATTTATTTATTTTTTTATTTTGATTCTTTCTTATGATGGAACAGATATTTGCGTTTTTCTATTTTCTTGATTGATGCCCCTACTCGACATATTTTTGGAACAATTTGACAGTATTTTTCTTTATTGAACTCTGGAAGGATTGCATTTGGAATTGTTGATTCGGGTCTTTTCTTTGGAAGGTGTTCAGTACAAGTTCTACATTGTTCCATGTGTGCGTGCGTGTGTGTGTGTGTGTGTGTGTGTGTGTGTGTGTGTGTGTGTGTGTATGTGTGTGTAATATGAGTGTTCTTAACAGGTGTATGGTGTGTATATAATGTTTGATATGAATGTTTTATACAGATGTTTGGTGTGTATGAAATGTTTCATATGAGTGTTCTATACAGATGTATGATGTGTATGAAATATTTAATATGAGTGTTCTATACAGATGTATGGTGTGTATGAAATATTTAATATGAGTGTTTTATACAGATGTATGGTGTGTATGAAATGTTTGATATGAGTGTTTTATACAGGTGTATGGTGTGTATGAAATGTTTGATATGAGTGTTCTATACAGGTGTATGGTGTGAATGAAATGTTTGATATGAGTGTTTTATACAGATGTCTGGTGTGTATGAAATGTTTAATATGAGTGTTTTATACAGATGTATGGTGTGTATGAAATGTTTAATATGAGTGTTTTATACAGATGTCTGGCGCATTACTTGTTTCATGCAAATATTCAACACAGATGTCTGGTGTGATGAAATTTTTGATAAGAATAAGTAATATGTAAGTAATTAGTAATATCGTATAGAATGATTATGGTCTATATGACCAAAATCGGTAAGTTGACTGTCGCTATATTTCCATGCGGGTGTATGACATTTATGAAATGTGTGGTGTTTTTCATGATTATGTGAATGTTTCAAGTATGTTACACGGTCTATCAAATATTACCCAATTCTTCATTTTAAGTGCTTTGAAAAAATGGATTTTTGTTTTGTTTGTTTGTTTATTCAGTCAAAGGCATAATAAAAATTACACATTACATTACAAATATTACAAATATTACATAAGCAATTCCATAACAATTAAAATCAGTAATAAATTATTGTGGATTTCTTAAAATTATTAATTATAAAATATAAGATATCACAGAAGAATTTCACATACCTTAAAATGTCACAGTTTAAACTAGTATCGCAGAAATTAAATTACACTGTGCTTGCAAATCTTCTAAGTAAAATAGTTGAAAATTTAGAAATATCAATAAAAAAGAGAGAAATTTGATAAAACCAGATGAAAATGCCTTTGGCCTTGGATTACCCATAAAGCCTATAAAATAGGCTTATTTCCAATGGGGATAAAACATTCTTAAACAAAATCAAACAAAGCATTTATGTTGTTGATATCTAAATCTGTTATGCAATTCTAGTAATAGTGGGTGAGGGGGTGGGGGAATGAAAACACGGGCAGCATGGCAATGCAACTACATGTATCGTCATTTCAAGCAGCACACCTCGGACAGTTCAGCACATTTCTTGATGACTTCATTGTCTTCGTTTAAATATTTTTTCGCTTGAAACAGTTGAAACACTCTATGAATGAAAATCAAAGCCATGGCTGTCGGTACATTTTCCCCGCGGCTTACCAGACGCTGTCTGGCGGTTTTGTGTGATACGGGCTGTAATTATGTAGCCACAAGCGGGTGTACCGGAAAGGCAAAGGAAGGTCGGCAAAATACATGTGCGAAACATGTTGTATGTAATACCAGTGTAACTAAGCATATATGTTTTTCGGTTTGAAATAGTTATGAAACTACAACACTTGATGACGGTATTGAGAACAGAAAAGTATTTCTTGCGACGTTTGTACACCTAAACTGTATATCGAAATACATAGGTAGCACGCGGTCACGTAGGCCATGTAAGTGAAATGAATGTCCTGTACACCTGTCTATTCTATTTGATTCGTCGTTGCCATCAGCATAAATGTTTTTAGACATGAGAAGGAAGGGTCATATCACTGAACGGAAATGTCAGTTGAATACCGCGGCATTGTTGGTGAAACCAAGCCAAGGACTAGTCGGCTGCATTTGTCTTACAGGACCGCACAAAACATGTTACACGACGGGAATGACTATCAGCCGAATCTACACACAAATACCAGCAACAAGAAAAGAAGATGCATCTTATATACTATAGCAGTGATCATAGGACTTTTTGTTGGTAAGTAAATATAGGAATACATTTGCCTTTGTCCATTTGTCACACTAGCTCTCAAATTTAAAATTGATGATCTAAGAAATAGATGTCAAAATATAGGACACGAAAAGTTCCAACAGACAGGTACAATAACTGTTTATTTTGCAGGTATGTCGCCTCGATTGAAAGCTTCTCTTAAAGAGAGGCATCTTCAATCTTCTTGTTGCGATGTACTTGATGGGGAACTTAATTCCTCCTTACACCGACTATGAGTCCCGGTTGCACGTGCATGGTTATTACAATTGTAGAAAAAATTATACTAATATTTAAGGATTGTTTCTTATTTTCAGTAGCTGCATCAAATTGTATTTACATTGGAGTAAGTACATAACGCGCACCAAGTTAAATATGTACTTACCCCAATGTAAATACAATTTGATGCGGCTACAGAAAATAAGAAACAATCCTTATATTAACACTTTGTCACTTTGAAATTAAAAAAAAAATTAAAAAGAAATAACCTCATACACATTGTTCGAAAAGCCGCCCCTTTATAGAACAGCCAAGTAAATCTAAAAACACTTGGTGGCGTTGCCGTTGACAAGTACAGTAAACAATCAACATGTTTTATAATATTTATTAAATATTTAGACATCTTCTTTTAGTTTTAAGAATCAATAGTTCATCATTTACACAATATTCCTCTATCATAGTACACAAATTCATTATTCAACATTGCGCAGGTATATTGCGCAGGTATATATCTAAAATACATGATGAGGCCGCCCGATCAGCTGATCGAAAGAGCGGGAAAGCGATGAACATGACACGCCATTTTCTCCACGTTGATAATGCTAGTGTGTGTCGTTGAATGTGAACGTGCATCCATGGAAGGATGAGTTAGATAGAAACTCTGATGACATGTTTGACTGAAAGGCTGCAGCAGAATAATTCATACTGAGGTTAGGTTGTGTATTTTCTTTACTTTTCAGAACGACATAAACTATAATCTCATTTTGTAGCGTTCGCAACTTGGACAAGTAGTTCTTACATTTTATTTGATATCTATGCGCAGGCCTAATCACCTTACGTAAATATTGAAAATTATTAACACTGGGTTGGGCTTACTTCATCCAGAGAGAATGCAGCGCAAGTGTAAATATTAAGTCATATAATTTAGGAAAATGAATTTTAGGTCTTTATTAACACTAACTAACACGTAGTTGGTATTAAAGGACAGGTGACAGAACAATCTCCAGACACCTTGTCACTATATATTCTAACACAAGTTTTTAAAGGAGTAAAAGGTAAAAACAGGGATGTTAATATGGTAATATAATAATGATTTGGGTCTTATATTTGTATTCCTAATTTGCTCACTTAGCCTCTGTTCATCTTGTTACACGTACAAAAAGTCAGGCTTCATTTATACGTTCTTATATACATTGTTAGCTTAGTACTGGGCAGTAACAGTCAAGTGGCGGGGCAATCCCCAAACAGCTTGACAGTTACACAAGACAAGGAACTTATCGGGATGATCCTTCCAGTGGGTGTTCAGTCTGGGTTTAAAGCTATTCACAGAGTTTGCTGTAATAACACTATCCAGCAAATTGTTCCACGAATTTATTACGAGGTTGGAGAATGTATTTTTGCAGGTATTGAGCCAAAACAGTCTTTTGTACAGTTTAGTCCTGTTCCCTCTCGTGACTGTATATCCTGGTTGTACAAACATACTTCCTGAATCTATTTGATAAATTTTTTTAATAATTTTAAACAGTTGAATCAGGTCAGGACGTTTCCTCCTATACTCCAGCGTTGGGAGACCTAATGTCCTCAGTCTCTCACCATAGGACAGGTTTCTCAGGGTTGGGACACGCTTCATGGCTCTTCTTTTGCACATTCTCCAATAGGGTTTTGTCCTTAATGAAGGCTGGTGACCAAATTGGTGTAGCATATTCCAAATGAGGTCTCACTAAAGTTTTAAAGAGGGTGGTAAATAACTGTAGGTCCATATAAGTAAATGTCCAGAAAATAACTCCCATGATTTTATTTGCCTTTTTGGCCACATAGATGGCTTGGTCCGAAAATTGGAGTTTGTCGTCTACAACCACTCCCAGGTCAGTCTCCTTATCTACTTTGTTGATTGGAGTTTCATCTGGCGATGATGTGCAAACAATTAAAAATGAATTATAATTAAGTAAGATTAACTCAAATTTGAAATGATTATCTCACACCTAAATGCCATCTCCAATCTTTTTTTAAAGCATAACTACTATGATTTGTAAGTCACATGACAACTATCAAAGCTTGTATACATGTACATATCAAGGTAAATTGCCAATTGTCAAGTGATAATGCTTACACGTTACAAAAATTAAAGGTGAAAATCTTCAAGTAAGGAATATTTCCTTGAAGACACATTACACTGTATTGAATTTCAGTTCCTCATTTTTGATGGACATGTGAACTGCCCTTTTATAGACAGCTTAATTTTGTGAATGATCACTATACCTTCATTCCATATGTATACATGTAGTTTACAGATGTAAGTTAAAAGTGATTTATGATATACATTAAAGTTTAATACAAGTATGTATCAAATTTTTTTTATATGAATGTTTCAATACAATTTAAGTTGATGATCAAAATTATGCAATACTTTTTAATAGTTATTACTACAAAAATGAAACAAAACAGTTTGGAATTACCAGTATTGGAAATAATTAATGGAATGTTTGCACTATATTGAATATGATAAGTATAATTTAAGAGTTGTAGAATAATCTTCTAGTATATAAATTTAATTGATACCAGCAATGCTCATGCTAGGGTTAACATCAGTGACCAAGCATTTCACTTCTGTGTGAAAAATTGAAGAAGCACCAACTGACTATTATTTAATTTTGGAGAAAATCATAGTTATTCAAAAAAAATTTTTTTCATTTTATTTGATTTTGAATAGCAGTCGTGACATTTGTATATGTATACACATGTTCATAGGTGAATAGTTTGTAGGATCTAGCATTTAGGAAATTTATTTTAACATTTATAGGAAACATCAATATTTTGTCTGTTGCTATGTAAATATACATATGAGTATAGTGAGGTTGGCTGGCTTTAGTTGATATTTTTCCCTCAGGCAGGAGATGAAATGTCACGATTTAGTAACAGCTAGTATAAAATTATTATATGTTTAAGTTCTACACACATTAAAATTAGTCTAAAAAAACGAATCCAGGTAGAAAATTTAATTAAACATGCCAATTCAAATGATTTAGTCTAGCGAACAGGAATTTGATGGATATTTAAGTGTCTTTAAACATGTTTGTATATTCAGTCACAATTAAAAATATCAAATGTGGAGGTGTACAGTTTTTAAAAATATTTGATTGATAAAATGTCTTATTCCCCTTACTTTAAAGATTATAATATTAAAAGTTCAACAATTCTCCCAGTAAATTGTAACTCAAAAAGAAAAAAAAATTGAAAGTACATTTACGCCTTTGTACATTTAAATATTCAGCCTAATGCACACTAACTGCTGCTGTATGCACAAATTAAATTTTCAAAAAGTCTTTTTTGTCATTTTGAATATAATGCAAATAGTAAACAAACACTTCAGATAAGAAAAAAAAATCCATTATGATAAACTATAGCCATTAACAATGTCCATCCAATAGTAACATCCTAACCAATATTTACCATTCATTTCATATAACAATGACACTTATTGTACACATAACTACATTTGCCCCAAATGGTGATAATTATCTAGGCTTTGCTCAAATTATCATTACATACCAGGCCCCACTTGTATAAAACATCTCAACTTGAGATTTCCTAAAGTCGAGATTTTCCTCAGCTAATATCTCCTTGAAAATATCTTGTATGAAAATTCCTCAAGGAATTTCAGGACATCCTAGCCGATGACTTCCTCCTGTTCCTTGAGAAAATTTTATACAAGCCCGTTTTCGAGGAGATATCAGCTGAGGAAAATCTCGACTTGAGGAAATCTCAAGTTGAGATATTTTATACAAGTGGGGCCAGGTATACAAGTACATGTAGTCAAGCTTAAACAAATGTAATTACAACAGCCTTTAGTTGAAGACGCACAATTTAGAATACACTAACTGAATAAAATTCTATGTCAGATTTCATTTGTTGAATAATTTTCTGAAAAAGATTAAGTACCTAGGTAATAGTATTTATTTTCTGAAGAGAAAAGTTAAAGAAGTTTTGTTCTTAACTATTGTCTTCAGTTGTTCTTTCACAGAATTATTTTTCTGATGCATGTATGTAATATAATACTGTTTATTATCAGGGCTCTCACACCCCATTTTGGGACTGGGGCCTGGGGCCCTTAAAATTGGGAAAAATAATGGTATTTTCCTTAGAATTCGGAAAACTTCGGGTCTAAATTGGGGGAAAAAGATACCAATTTGCATTGGCAGATCAAGAGCCCTGATTATATGGGGAAATGAAACTTACACTATTAGTGATACTGGTATATCTTAAAAATATTCTTTTTCTTCATCAGTATGTACTTCCGTATTGCTGTATGAATTTGGACCTATGGGCGATAATATGTCATCTTCATCAAACATGAAGCTACCACATCCTTTACTACGACGATCTGTAATCAACAATCCTGTATTCACACCAATCAGTGATCAAGCTGGAGAATTTCTCAGGGACATCCGAGTCGCTGATCATTGTCACCTACCTGATGCTCCTTCTTTGGGAATGGAAGGTCAGTTACTATGGAGATAGCATGGAAATATACAAATATTACAGAATTCTTGGTATGATATCTTATCAATTAGATAGCGTAATTTTCATGCCCCGTTGTCATTTTATGAAGGAGTTAATACATTGTTGCCTCCATCTTTTCACAACGGTTCTTTCCAAATCAGAGGGTCGGGAACAGAGGCATTCTTGTCTTCTTACTTTTGGAAACATTTAAAAAAAAAATTCATTTTGAATTCTTTTCACCAGTAAGGCACTTTCTTAACATGTTTTTCCCCTCAAGATTACATGTTGTATATATACATATTGGTGTTTGATCACTTGTTAATGTTATTCTATCACAAAAAAACTGTGATAATAGTACTTTGCAGTCTGCATAGTTGTCTGCATGTACTGGTATGTGGAAATGTAGGTCAATATTTAGAAATGATTAAGAGCTGTCATATGAAGTGTTTATGATGATTGAGTGATAACCGCTGGGGATCTGGGCTTGTTTGCAGTTACCAGAGCACCTGTCCAACTATATATGTATGTGTATTACAGCTTTATCTTAACCATAGTACATATATGAATGTGAACATGTCACACTTGTTATGACAAAAGTACTGTTATATCCTGGGAATATCTAGCTGTCACTGAGCCAGTCTCTCAATAGTATACAATATAGTGTAGGATACAATTACATGTGTGGGTGTTAGGAATAAAACAGGTACATGTACCTTTATAAGCCCAGGAGTAGTCAACCGATTACAGTAATGATTTGAAAACTGTAATGATAAAATTAATAATATTTAGCATGATGTCTGTTTACGTACTCATTTTGCAGGCAAACATCATATTGCGGTTCAGTGCTTAGATTCAGTTTTAGACTTACAGACTTTTTAGTATGCTGTACAGAGATACAGTATCAAATATTTATGCTACAGGATTATCAGGTGTAATCCAACAGCTGTTGTTATGGGCAAGCTTCACTGTCAAATACTTCAAGCAAGATTCTTGTTTAGTCACTGACCAGGCCAAACAAAAAAATATATGATTCCTGTAAAATTTAGGGTAGGTAGGCAAATTTTTTTTATTTTTCAACAAGTAATTTCATATGAATGCAGGGATCAATCTAGGAGATAGTGTAAGATAGCCTGTGTTTCAAAAGGCTACAGGAGGAAACCTCCTGGGCTGAAATCGATTTAAAGTTTTTCAGAACCTAGTGTTTGACTGTTCAAACAACATTGCCATTTGGAGTAATGTAAGATACTTTATAAACCAGACAATATGCAAAATCTATAAAATTCTACTCAAAAACAATAAAACTGAAAGATCAAAATGTTATTTCTGTTGAAATAGAAATTCAAAGAGAAAAATGATAATTTATGTAAAGTAGGGGAATATGTAATATTCAAAGGGAACATTCTGTAAGAGGGGAATTTTAGCTGCAAGGGGAGACTACCCAATACAGATAGTAAAATAACCCTAGATTGATCTGTGAGATGATATTGGAGAAAAGTCTTGACTTTGACAGTGCTCCTTAGAAAATCATCTCAAAAGTTCAGGGCGGGCACAAAATTTTAAGCCATAAGGGTAGGTGGGCCACCAGAAACAGAAAATGTTTTTTACTTGACCTTATCAACAGGTGTAATATAGAAAAGTGAATAATGGCTTAACTTTGCTTAGAATGTATATATTTGGAGCTGAACTAAACCCATTCAATCCATTTAGAATATATTTGATATTTGAAAATCAGAGAAGTACATACACTGAGTATTCTGAACTGGAGCCATACTGATGGTTAAAGTTCTATCAAGCATTGATCTTCTGCTTTAATTATTAATGATTTATTTGTCAAAAGATTGGTTTTATATGATATCGTTGATGAGAGCAATGAAAAGATAACTGTAATGTTATATAGATATTTCCAATAGCTGTCATATATTATTCATTATAGAGGCATCAAAACCTTCAGAGATTGCTGTCATGCAAAAAATCAGGTGTAAAAAAGCCTTTTGGGAGTCACTGTTGATCCAAAGAGCCTAAGGTGTAACAAAGGATTTTGGTTTTTATCTCACCTGGTTTGAAAATTTTCTGTAAAAACTACTTCTCTTAAATGACTGAGTAGATTTCGACAAAATTTTGTCAGAAAATGAGACTCAATTTTGTATGAAAGGTAGATCTGACCTCCCTTGTGACCTAAGGAGCAGAGCCAAAAAGAGAAACTTTTCCAAATTCTTAAAAATTCTTCTTCGATAGGAATGATAAAATTTTGTCCAAATTTGGTGTTTAAGCATTGGAAGGTGAAGGTGACCACAGTGAGTCTTTGTCTTTGGGGTGGAAGGGGCAGGGCCCAATATAGGATGTAGAGCAAATTCTTAAGAATCCTTTTTTTTCTGTGGGAATGAATGGATGAATTCAGGCCTGATTTGAGCTGAAGCATTCTTGTATGAATGGCTTTGCTGATCTGCTGAGGGCAGAGTCATGGAGACGATAAACCTTCATGATGATGATCATCATTATCTGAGGGCAGAGTGGTGCAGACCAATGGAGAAGTATAAAACCTTAAGACTTCTTTTCCTTTATCTGTGATTCAGTAATTTCACCCTAATTGAAGTGAGCTATACAGACCATTTGGGCCTCTTGATACTGTCAACCGAAAATTTGAATATTGTGTGTTTTGTGTGTTGAAATCAGCAATTCTTTGAGCATCTAAGGCAGGTATGAATATTTGATGGATAAAATGTCCTTGTTGACTAATAGTTAATGGATTAGAAAAATGTACTTGTGACATACACATATTTATATTAGTGTAAAGTATTAAAGATCCTGAAGATTAGTTACCTGAAGTGGTGTCAGCCAAGTGGATATTTTAACCTTCCCCAACTTTAAAGTCAAAAGCAGTTCAGGCGAGGATAAAAATTTGTAGTTGATATGAGTATGGGAAGCTGTTTAAAGCTATAAGAATTCACCTTTAAATAGGTAAATGACCTGCAAGGTAAAATAAGAGTATTATCTTTGCAAATTATTTTGATAATTTATTGCAAACTTGAATATTGCATAGTCTCTAGATGAGCTTTACAAACTACAATGTGTGTGTATATGGCCATGACCACCCTCTGGTAGGCCTGTTTAAGAGTAAAGATCTTGTCATTTACTTGTACTGGTTTTCATTGTGTGAACATAATAAAGGTGCAGCTCTATTGATGTGTACAAGAAAAATTGATTTTTAAATGTTTTATGAAAAGCTGCGTTCATCAAATATTAACATAAGGATTAGTTTTTTATTGCATTGAAGTGTATTTACATTGGAGAACCAACATGTTTTATTTGGTGTGCTAATGCACAACAAGTGAAATGTAGTTATTCCAAAATACTTAAGTGCATGTACAGAAAATGAAAAAAAAATCAATATTCATAATGAAGCTTTAATTACTGATCAGTTTCATATACACTCTAATGTTTGGCCTGTGGCTTACTGTTTCTAGTTTTGAAAACTCTTCACACTTTGTCCGGTTTACCTTGTGTTATTTTCAAGACATGTCATCTTGCACAAGTATTTTATTCACTGCTCTCACTTAAATCTATATCCTTTTCTTTTTTAATTCCAGACTTCTACATGAAGGATAAATATACTTTGGAACAAGTTCATGTTGTCTTGTCATCAGGGGAGACAACTCCACAACAACTCCATTCTGACATTCCACTGGCTGACTGCCAGTATAAATCTGATGATACTGGACTGCATGATGACTTTCCAGCTATTGTCAATGGATACATCAGGGCAAACAAGGCACACTCAGAATTTATCACCCACACGATCTCGCATGAAAGGAAATGTCCCCCAGGGCAGTTATCTCCCTTAGGAATGGCAAAGTTAAAACAACTTGGACGATATCTGCGTGATACTTATGCGAATCTGATTAGAAAAGGATCAAAATTACATCATCCCAATAAGTTGATTAAAGTTTTAAGTGGACAGGATTCTAGTTCATTCCATTCTACTCTGTCTTTCCTCAGTAGCTTTTTACCACACAAGGACTTCCACAAGGTCAGTGTGGAGAAAGTGACCAATCAGCTTTGTGATAAGTCACAGACAGACTGCCAATGTCCAAACACAGCTCGCTCTCTCTCTATTCTTATGAACAATATCTCCACACAGGACTCGAAATCACAGCAACATGAAAACATGTCATTCAATAAATTTTTTGATAATTTCCAGAAAAATAATTTGAGTGCTGTAGAAGCACTTGGTCAGCTTTCTCCTCTTATATGTGACAAATCCCTTCCTTCAGCAGGATGTCATGGTAACCGTTGTTGGAATATAACAAGGTCACATGTTTTTAAATTATTTCAAGCTGTAGATAAGCATACACAGAATTGGATGAATATGATTCCCAACAGGGAGCACAGTCGCCTTCATGTGTATCCATTTATTACTTCGTTAGTTAAATCCTTTAAGAACATTCACCTTTCAGCATCTCCAAGAATTTTCGTTTACACAAGCACCGAAGAATTCATGCTTCAGTTGCTGACAGCCATTGAGAACATATTGGACAAGTTTCCACGTCCAGGATCGCGACTTGTCTTTGAACTTTTGTCCGCTTCACAGAAACAGAAAAAACGTTACTTTCTGCGTGTTCTGTTCAATGGTCGTGATGTTACTACAAACATTCCTCTCTGCAGTCATCGTAAAGGTGATGGAATCTGTCCATTGAAGTACTTTGTGGATTATCACAGTATAAATTTTAAGAATATGTTTTCAAAATCAAATTATACAGAAAGATGTTTATGATGTTTTGGTTCATTTAATTAATTTATATTGACATATCATAATCCCACTCCCTTTATACAACAGGGAATATGTAAAGGTTATGTTAGTTAATGACGGAAAAAGGGTAATTCCCCATCATTGTTTGTCTTTCAGGACTCAAGTAATTTGTGCATATACGATCTTGATGCTTAGTCTGTTATTTAGGTTTTATCTTTTCATTACTGCCCATTGATGTTTTTAGGGGATCAGGTTAGTATTTGTTAGTCTGCAGGCCACATATTTCCTGTATTTCTAGTCATTTTTTCCTGTTTTAATATTGTTTGGTAGGTAGTTTTTGACTTTGCATTGCTGACGTTTTTCAATATTCGTTATTTTGGCATAGCTTAAGTAAATTCATACATTTAGTGTTGCTTTTCAAAGAAAAATATTGATAATCAATTAGTATGCTGTTATTTGTATTTTTAGCTATTTTAGTGGAGCAGCTAAAGATGATTTTTTGGCATAATCGTTCAGTTGGTGATACAAGCATGAACTTTTGTATGAATATTCTCTGTAAGTCACTTTTTCAGCACACTTATAACTGTCATAAACGTCCAATTTTTTCAAACGTTTGCCCCTAAAAAGGACTGCTAATGCCGCGGTGACAAGAGGATGAGCTCAGTTCATCTACGAGAACAAAATCTACGAAATTAAACCACAGAAGGAGAGTGGTGCAGAATATCATCAAGAGAGTGTATGTCGCTCACTACCAGGGCACGCTGGTGACAGACACTGCTGTGGAACTCAGCATGGGGTTCAATATCTGCTAAACTCCGGTTTAGTATCCCAAATGCTATCTAGTCAGCCCCTAGGATTGGATAGCCGCACCTGAATGGACAGGATGTGCCAGTGCGGGAGAGCCGAGCCAAGGATAACAGGGGCTTTATTGTTATCCGGATGGTGTACAGATCGCATGGGATCTAAAAGATATTGGATGAACGATCGGATTAGGTGTAGGGCAGCAGCATGAACCTAACTGTATCCCATACATCAAAGTGGGCAAGGTGGTCAGGTGGTAAACCCTCGGCCTACACCACTTCAGCAACTCTTACTATGGATGCCAAAACAAGACAGCAAACTGACCGGAGCAAATGTTGCCTTTGTCAAGTGGACAAAAGGGATGAAACTCTGATTTCACATCTTACCTCATTCCAGAGGAAACAGGACTATGATGGATATAATAAATTGCAAAAAATGTGCCATTGTTTCATTCCCTTTATGATATGCCAATACCATTTAATCCAGCACGGCTAGATGAAGGAGAAGGCATAGAAGCCACACTCACAATGCACTTAGGGATATTTTTCAAAATTAGGCGTCATATGGCAGTCATCTTGGAAAATGGTCGCCATATTGGAATTTCAGGTGGCCAGCACTTTTTCCTAACATTTAGCATGCAATGAATACTTTGCCTAATTTCATTCTTGTATCATCAAATGAACGATTGTTTGGGTTATCTGCTCCACTATTTTTAAAGCAGAAACAACTTATTTTTAGTGACTGGTATATTATATACTTTCTTGATTTGGCATGATCAAATTATCGCATATCATTACTTTTTGGCAAATCAACAATGACAGAGTCGCCTGTCAACAATGATTACAAGTAAACAGAATATATAACTTGCTTTTAGCTTAATTATTTTATAGCACAATATTTACAGTGTGAAAAAGTACTAAAATGAAATTACTGTTCAGGTAAATTTATAGTAATTGCAGAAATCTGTTAAAGATATATATCAACATTGTTACTTTATTGCGTCTATGCTATAAATGGAGGGTTCTAGGAATTTTTATTCAGATCTAGTATAACAACATATTCAGCTTTTTGTTTGTTGTTGTTACTTTCTTGCCAATCACAGTCCTGCCTTATACAAACGAAATCAGATCTCACCGACTACACAATATAATTCTGAAGAGCATATTTTCATATTTTATAATTATTTATACATATGAGGAATAGACGCATCTGATACACTGGCATTGTTGTTGATTCAGTGATGATTGCTGTTGTAAGATATTGTGTGAGTTGGAATTACATGTATATCCCAGGTATCACTCTTGTGAAAGTTATACTGCCTTTTGTATAGTAAGGAACAGAACCAGGTCAGTCAGACCTTGTGATAATAGATCTTGAACAAATTTATATTGATCTGTTTTAATGTTATAGGTGGCTATTGTTATAACTTAAAAATTGTGTTTGGCAATTTGAATGATTGTTCACAATCAATGATATTCATTCAAATGTCAGTCCAACAAAGCAGGTGTAATTCTAGATCTTAGATACATCAATATGTATAATGGTTATGTAACTATATGTAACCTTCATTAATTCGGACCCACCGAATGAGAGAGCTTTGATATGCTTTGTTAAGCTTAGATATGCTTTGTTAAAGGGTTTGTTGTCTATCTAGCCATCTGTTGATTGTTCTGTAAACACTCAACTAATACAAGTTTAGTCCAGAACATGATAGCTGTATATAGTTTGAACAAGTTTTGCCCTAGACACTTTTAGTCTGTCATCATCAGATGTTGGGCTTTTCAAATCGACCTACATTTGTGGCCTGTCACCATCATAAACATTTTTTGTAATTATTATTTCTTGAGAAGCACTAGATGGATCTCTCAAATTTCATTTGTAGTTTCATCTGAGTTCCTAGTTGTGCCTGTTTGAATTTAGGACTGATAAGAAAAAACAATATGGCCTATAAATAGAAATCTTGGGTTTAGTCTAGTAAAGTTTGTTATTGCTATTTCTTTAGGAAGTAGATTGGTTTTCTTAAATTTCATTTATAAATTGTACCCATTTGATTTTGTGACTGATTGATCAGAATACCAAAATGGCTGAGAGGCGGCCACATTGGATTTCAATTATGAAAGTTTGTTAGCAATATTTCTTGAGAAGCACTAGATATATCTCTCTCAAATTTCATATGATGATTAGCTATGGTGCGTAGTAGTACCTGTTTAATTTTTGGACTGATCAGACAATCAGAATGGCTGACTGGCAACCATATTTGATTTTGACTATGAAAGTTTGTTTTCGCTATTTCTTAAGCAGCAGAGGATTGATCCTTATGGTCGTTGTTGTGCCCTTTAGGAAAACAAAAATGTTTATCAGGTGACCATCTTGCATATGGCAGTTAAAGATTATTCCTTTTCCCCAAAGAGGAGTTTTTGAAAAAAATGATTTAATTAAGAACAAAAATTGAGAAAAGAAGGAAAAGGTCTAACATTTTTTGTGAACAAATAATGACCAAACAGTGGTGTATGTCATAATTCCTCTTGGCTCTTGTGTATGGTTGAAGAAGGCCGTATCTGAAAATGCACTTTGTTTGGTGAATGTATGAGATATGATTAAGTGATGCAACAATTTATCATTGACATATCTGTTTATAATTTTATCAGAAATGCTTGCCCCTTGTGGCTCCTGCCTATTTTGTAACCAACAGTATCCTGTATATAACCTGTTTTTGAGTTTGTTTGGTATGAGCTGTGTATGTGCTTTTTCCAGGGTGTTGAATCTCTTGTAATTGATGATAATGAGTTTAAACAAACATGTATATCTTGTTATTTTAGGCTATGTTTTTTGTAGTCTAAAAATGAGCACAAGAAGTGCTATTTTTAGATATTGTTATTTTAGACTATCCTATTGTAGTCTAAAAATCAGCATAAGATGTGCTATTTTTAGATTGTTAATCAATGATGGATCTTAATGCATATTTATGGGCTATGATTTTTGTAGTCTAAAAATCAGCATAAGATGTGCTATTTTTGGATTGTTGATTATTACATATATTATTAAATGTTTCAGACTATGTTTTTGTAGTCTAAAAATCAGTGTGAGATGTACTATTTTTAGATTATATATTTTTGCTTTTTTATTTATTTATTGGTGTTTTTATTTTTTAAGGATTTCAATCAATTTTTATTGTATGTGCCAGGAAACAAATTTAAGTAGGTCAATTTGCCATTGTTTTCTAGAAAAGAGTGATGAAGCATTATTTGTAACACAGACTTTTTCACTAATCTCTGTTCTTGTCTGTCGTCATGTCATGAAGACACATGTATAACTGTGCTATGAGACAAAAGCTTCATTTGGTGTTGCAGTAATCAGGTTTGCAACTGTTAAATACAGTAGAATACATCTCCATTTTATGAAGTTTCTATTTACTTAAATGTGGTTGCTTCCATAAAGTTTTATGCACATTCCTAAATTCAGCACAAATATTTTTGCCCACAGAGAAATCATTTGATATTCAGAATAGTACTAATTTAGACAGACTCTGTTATTTGCTTAATTGCTGAAATGTAATATATGCATAAAAACAAACAATAGTTGTGTACATTTAAATACCTTGTATGTGCCAACTAATGTTAAAGCAGGAGACCCTTTTATGACAATGGAAAATCTAAGGAAGCAAACACTTCAAAATGAATTTAATAGAATTAAATTAATACAGACTATATAGTTGCTATCATAAGCTGCAGAACACGAAAAAAACCTTTCCTCAAAAGAAGAAAGATTACATAAAATGTACATTGAAGTTGAATTAGCATTGAAAGAAGCTGCTATTAACAGCTATCCACATTAAAAGTAACAATTTTTTATAAGCCTACTTTTCTTGTGAATTAAATTTTGCAAGGGAGACAATCCAAATGCATATGTCACATGTCAGGAATATGACATATACTGTGTAAATAAGAACTCTTGGGATTTGCAAAATGTACAACACTGAGCAGTGGGCCATCCACCTTAAGGATTTTTCTCTCTGATTTCTCATAGAATTACTGATTAATAGTCTGGTCTATGTATCTAGTTCATTTTGTGTTGTTTTCAATTTGAGCTTAAATTGTGTAGGCAGAAAGAGAGGCGCACAGGTGTCAGGTGAACATTATTTGCAAGAATAATAAACAGAAATTCCATCAACACATGTATAGTCCTATTGTAATACAGCACTTGTTTCAAATCACATATAAATA